TGGCCATCCACAGACCCAACCTTGACCCTGGTCACTGAGCAGACACAGATCCCTGGCCTCCGATGAAGCCACTGCAGCAGCCTGGGACCCGGGCCTGGCCTGGTCACAGCCCCGGGCTGAGCCCCTAACACAGCCAGAGCCAGGCCCCAGTCCCTGCACTGTGCCTCGGCCGGCGGGATGGCTGGCTCACCCCTTCCCACTGCAGCAGCCTGGGGTCCGTGCCCCACTGCCCAAGCCCTCACTTCCCTTCACCCCAGCCGCTAATAGATCCGGCTCCTGTCCAGTGTCTGTATGGCCTCCTGCCCTTGCAGTCCATGCGAGTTACCTCTTCCGCTTTGAGGATATTTGGAGAGTGAAAGTTTCTGTCTCAAACAGGCCGTGTGCTCCTTTTCATTGCAAGACTATCATAAAACAAGCTCAAGTGCACAGGCCGTGGACCTCCGGCCCCTCTCCAAATCCCCCAGCTCCTCTCCCGTGGCTGCCCAGGCAGGGACCCAACAGCTAGGACTTGTGGCTGAGATGACCAGGGCTGGGCCCCCCTCTCCCTGGCTGCTGCACCTGGCTGCCATGGCTCTCAGCCCTGCAGTTTCTGCTGACCTCGTTGGCGCTGTCTTAGCAGCTTCCGACCGTCTGCAGGGCCACCTTCCTGTTATTCCTCTAGAGTGAAGCACCAAGGCCATTTCCTTAGTGACAAGGGCTCCCCACCAGGCCAGAAGGCCCAGGAGCTGCCCGGCCCTGCTGATTCCTACGGGACGAGGCCACGTTCACGGGCATGTGAGTCCCAGGGAAGCACTGACCCCAAGGCTTCTGCGCTGTGGCCGAGGGCCCCAGGAGCTGGAGCTCCCTGCAGGAGGACAGGGCCTCAGGAGACAAAGCTGTTGCTCCAGGAGGGCCTGGCGAGAGTTCTTGGGAGAAACCACAGGGGGAGCGGTGAGAGCAGGAGCACTCCGGGGGAGGGGCGCCCCCCAGCCAGGACACCGCCTCCGCCAGGACCGGGGAGCTGCAGGAAGTCCGCATCCTGTTTTGCAAGACCAAGGAGTGACTCTCTTGCAGGAACCTCTGGCAACGCTCTCTACGCTCTGGAGATCAGACCCTTGATGATGTCCGCGACCCCTGGAGAGGGCTCACGTGTGGTGCGGCAGGTGAAGCCACCACCAGCGAAGCCAGCATCACCTGTCGGAGCACCAGTTTGAGTCCCGGCTGCTCCACTGTCTGATCCAGCTCCCAGCTAATGCGCCTGGGAAAGCAGTAGAAGCTGGCCCAAGTGCTTGGGCCCTGCACCCACATGGGAGACCCGGATGGAGTTCCTGGCTCCTGGCTTCGGATCAGCTCAGCTCCAGCTGTTCCAGCCATTTGAGGAGTGAACCAGCAGCTGGAAGACCTCTCTCAGTGCCTCTCCCTCTCGCTACTGCTCTGTCTTGGGACTCACTCACTCAATCATTTAGGAAAAGCATTCCCCTGGAACAGGAGGGCCTGTGCGTGTCTTGTGCTATGTAATCCCTTGGGTATGGGCAGGCAAAACGTATGTGTTTATAACAGCAAACACGAAAGATAGAAAAAAGACAGAGGGCTCGTAACCACCACACAGAACTAACCAAATCATTTTCTTCCGCAAGTTCAAGCTGGCATTGCGTGCTCCAGAGTTTTCTCTGTTTGGTCCAGGGGTTAAGACACCCCTTGGGACATCCACATTCCAGCTCCGCTTCTGATCCAGCTTCCTGCGAATGTGCCTGGGAGGCAGCAGGGGTGGCTCAAGTCCTTGAGTCTCTGCCATCTGCCTGGGAGACCCGGATGGAGTTGCCAGCTCCTGGCTTCAGCCTGGCCCAACCCCAGCTGTTGCAGGAGTGAATGAGTGAGTGGAAGATTTCTCTCTCTCTCTCTTTCTGCCTTTAAAATGACAGGACAATTAAAAAATAAAAAGAATTTTCCCCTGCTTTTCCCTCTTCACATTGTACCAATCATTTCTGCGACCACTGAATGCTCACTGAAAACCATCTGACTACATAATGGCCAATCAACAAGATGCTGGACTTTGCCCCTCTCTGATTGATGAGCAGAAAGGGCTTGGTCTCAAGGTTTGTTTTATTCATAGTTCTGGAATTAATCTTTGCACACAAGGCTTTCTTTCCCTCTCAGATTTCTTTCCTATTCAAATCATAAAACTAAATGACTGATGATAAACATTTTAAGGCCCCTGCCTGTTATTCCCAACTTGTTCTCCAGAATGTTCATGCTCCCGACAACCGTGAATGTCTTGCTATCCCTGACTATTCTCACTTTAGTATTTCTTCATTTTTCATTTATTTGGAAAGCAGAGGGATAGACAGAAAAGAGAGAGAGAGAAAGAGAGAGAGAGGGAGGGAGGGAGAGATATCAATCTCCCATCTGCTGATTCAGTCCCCAAATGCTTACGTCAGCTGAGCTTGGGCCGGGAGCCTGGGACTCAGTCTGGAGCTCCCATGTGGGTGATAGGAGCCCACATTCTTGGGCCATCACCTGCTGCCTGCTACGGTGCACATTGGCAGGAAGCTGGATCAGAAGCAGAGGCAGGACTCGAACCCAGGCCCTGCATATGGGATGCGGGTACCGCCAGCTGCATCCTGACCACTGGCCATACGCCCACTCGTGTCTTCACTTGAAAATGTTTGCGATGGCGACAAGTGAAATGCAGACTCTTGTTTCGTCTGGATGCCTGTGATTGTTATTGGGGCGGGACGAATCCACAGAGAGACACCAAGAAGTCTTGCAGAAAAGATCAGAGTATCAGCCAGGGTGTGTTCAGCAGCTGACTCGGAGGCAACGGCTCGGCTGTGCTGCAGTCCTGGGCTTCAGAACCACACAGAGTCGCAGGCAGGGCTGGACCGCGCCAGGCCTCCTCGCCTGGGTCCTTCCCGGGAAGCAGCCGCCTGCACCACACACAAGCTCTGGGGAGCAGGACGCCGGCCCACACGTAAAGGAAGGAGGAGAGTTCGGCGGCCCAGGCCCTCCCCTCCGATGCACCTGTCAGAGAAGTTGCTTCTCTTCTGGGGGACGGGACAGGGACATGAAGACAAGGACAGAGGTCGGGGGCGGCCAGGGCCAGAGAGCAGTGTGTCTGTCCCCTACTGTGTAGTGGCGAGGCTGCGCTCCCTGCCAGGCGTGGACAGGGTGGTACTGGACAGAAATCCCCTCACCCCCTCCCCTCCCCTCCAGGGTCTCCTCTTCATGCATTAGGACCGTGAGCCCAACAGGAGGACTGGGAAGAGGGAAGGCGCATCCCAAGGGGACCCCGGGGCCTCGTGGCTTCTAACCGATAGAGTAGTGCAAAGGTGATGCAGAGTCACACCTGCGACCACCTTGTTATACTCATTGTTCAGCTCCGTCTCAGCAGGCCAGAGAAACCCTCTTGCTGGCCTTGTCAAAGCAAACTGTCACTGTTACCTGTCTGAGGAGAGGGCCAGAGCCTTGGGTGGCCCCCAGCCCCAGGGACAGTCCCCAGCTGGTAGCCAGTAAGCAGCCGGGTCTCAGGGGCTGGCATTGTGGCACGGCGGGTTAAGCCTCTGCATGCAATGCCAGCATCCCATATGAGCACTGGTTTGAGACCCAGCTGCTCCACTTCCAATCCAGCTCCCTGCTCACGCACCTGGGAAAGCAGAGGAGGATGGCCCAAGTGCTTGGGCCCCTATCAACCATGTGGAAGACCCAAATGGAGTTCCTGGCTCCTACCTTTGGCCTGGCCAAGGGCTGGCTGTTGTGGTCATTTTGGGGAGTGAACTAGCGATGGAAGATATCTGTTTATATCTATCTCTGTTGCTCTGCCTTTCAAATAAATAAACACTTTTTTTTTTTTTTTAGAATTGGAATCACTGGCACCTCAAGCTTTAATCTCTAGAAGGGTGAGAACTAAGTGTCTTTTATTTGGGTCACCCAGTCCAAGTTATTTTTGTTGGTGCCACCCAGAGGCACACACCCCTCCCACACACATGAACCACGAGGCTGTGCGTGTACCTTGGACCACTGGAAGACATCCCAGCTAGATCACCACAGGGGACAAACCTCCTACCCACCGGCTTGCGTGGACTCGAGGGTGCCAGAGAGTTCTGTGTCTGATGAGTGGGGAAGCGGAGACCCTGGGGGAGAGCACCCAGATGGCCTGCTGGAGCGGCCAGCACCTTGTTCTCCTGGGCCCCCAGTGTGCCGCTGCGCTCGGGGCAGGTGCACGGGACCACGTGGTCAGCCTTCCCGTGTGCTTCTTCTCTTTCTCTGGCACCCCAGGCCATCGCTGTCACCAGCGGGAAGCCTGCCCTTTAAGCTATCTTCACGCCTCTTTGAGCTCAGGCTACCTGGGGAGGAACACCTGCTGTTCCTTCTACCTGGGACACCTCTTCCTCTCTCTGCCCTGACTCCTCCTTTGCCTTCAAAACCCAGCGTACACATAGCAAAGTCTTACGGGAGAGCCAGGAGGAATTGGCCCTGACCCCAGCACTTCCCGCCGGCCACGCAAGCACCTCTGACTCTTCCAGGACAGTGGCCACAGCCGTGGTCACCTCCATGGCTCTCAGAGCCCAGGGCCGGCACAGACGGCACGTGGATGCTCGCTGGCCGCATCGTGGGGACAGAGTTGGCGAGCTCACCCTAACTCCCGCTCCCCAAGAGCCGAGTGCTGCAGCAGGCAGGACACAGCTTGGGAGGTGCTCCCTATGGGAGCTCAAAGGCCAGCGCTGTCACTCCCTGGGGGTGTGTACTTGGGACAATCACTTCACCGCACTTTTCTCTTGATAAGGCAAGGGTACCGAAGCTTGCCTTGCAAGGTTGCTGCGAGGAATGGATAGAGCATGCAGTTGGCACTCAATAAGTGGTAGCCATGTCAGCTATCCACAGCTCCGTCAGTCTGTCCCTCCACCCGCCCCTCCCCGCACCCCGTATCTATTCTGTATTTCTGTGGGCGGGGCACGGGGCTGAGACTCAGGACGGCTCTCATCCATTCCCCCTCCCTCCCTCTCCCATGCTGCAGGCTGAAGTGGCGGCCTTGGCTCCCTTCTCGCGTGCCCGCCATTACCCAACCTGGAGCTGCTCTGCGTTGGTGAAACGGACGCCCTAGCCTGGCTCAGGCTACCTGGGGAGGAGCATTGGCTCCCTCTGTGCCTGCCCCACCCTGGCAAGGCGGAACAACCAGCAGGGCCCGGCCTTGGGCTGGCCCTCCCCGGCTGCAGGCTCTTACCAGCTGATCTGCCCGCCCTCCACCTGCCCTCCTACGGGGTCGTGTGAGCATTCAAGAGCGGACATGAGCAAGACTCTGAATGTGCTGGCACACCAGGGAGCACGCACTGTCACCATGAGCATTCAGGGCTTCTGCCCTTGGTTCACCGTCGAGGAAGCAGGATGAGAGAGAGACGCCATGGCCTGAGGACAGTGCGGGAGGAGGTGAGGGGACTGGCAGAGGCCTGCTGGCTCCTCCCCGTGGCACAGGGCTGTTCAGAGCTCATCCAATGGCACAGCCAGAGTGGGGCAGTGGCGGGAGAGGGCCGAGGACAGCAGCACTGCCCCTGTGGGCTTTGAGTCCAGCTCTAGTGCCAATGCCCCCCCCAACCCCTGCTGGGCCACCAGCCCGCAGCCACAGCCAGACTCGGGGCTCCCCATGGAGCTGCCTCCTAGAAGCCCCTCGTGGCAACTCAGCCAGTGCACACTCCAGCTCCCTCCCTGCAGACTCCGGGCTGGGGCTTTACAACCACCTCCTGCCCCCAGACCCCAGGCCCAGGTGCATTTCACCGGCTCCCCGGGGCCCAGGTGTGGCGGCTCAGAGGCTGGGCTCATGCAGGGATGGTGGAGCAGTGTGGTCTACGGGAGAACCGAGTACACAGAGCCCTTGTCCAAGCCCTTGCCTCAAGTCTCGGGGTCTCGTTTGCCTTGGCCGCTCCCCGTGCACCTGATCCCTGAGGGCCAGAGAACAGCAGGACAAGGCAGAGCCCCCAGAGCCGGTCCTCCATGCCCCACCCAACCGCCGGAAGCTGCCTCTCCCCCACACTCCCATCATGCACCGGTCCTCGCCGCCTGCCCCAGGATGCCCGCCACGGCCTTCCCACCTCCCGAGTGTTCCCGGCCTGGCTGCCTTCCCTCTTAGCTCCAAAGGTGACTCCACGGCACTGTTCAGGGAGGACCCAACCTCAAGCTTCAGTTATTTGTGATTTAATGAGGAGCCTCTTAATTATAACATCTGTTGTTTTAATTATCAAAGGAATTATAATGAGGCTCCTGGAGGAAGCCTCTGTCGCCAGAGCAGAAGCCGAGGAGCATTGTGCACATGAGAGGGCCCGCCGGGTCCTTGGCACGGTGGCTGCCACCCAGCGCGCCCCGTCACGGAGAGCACTTCATCTTCATTTTAATTAAGCTTCAGGGGTGAGCTAGGGAGCTGAGCAGCCCGGGTGCTGGAGGAGGCTCTGCGTTAGGAAGCTGCGGGTTGTGTGGCTGGGGAGAAATCAAAGACAAACCCGGCCTTTGGCAGCTGCTGAGAGACGCACACATCTGTCACTCAAGCCCCGGGGTGGGACAAAGAGCCTGGGCCCCCGTAACCTGAGCGGGAGCTGCTGCCTGCCCTGGCTGCTGGCGTCCCTATGTAGACAATGAAAGCCATGCTGTCCCCTGCCTCTGCTCACGTCCATCGCAGGGGAAGGCCTGGGCGGATTGGAGCTTCCCAGGGCCAGAGAGGCCATGAGGAGGTGGGCACTCCGGCCCTGGGGGCAGTGGTGCCGGTGCAGGATGGTGGCAGAAGTGATGGTGGCTCAGAGAGCGGTGATGCGGTTCCCCAGTTCCAACCCTCCTGTTGCCTGCGCTTTGAAGCTCCTTTCTTAAAAAAGGTGCATCTATTTCCCCAATGAATTTTTAAAAGCTTGTTTACTCATTTATATTCAAAAGGCAGAACAGCAGAGAGAGATCTTCTAGCCACTGGTTCGTCCGCCCCCCCCCCCCCCCAATGCCCACAACAGCCAGGGGTGGGCCAGGTCAAAGCCAGGAGCCAGGAACTCCATCCAGGTCTTCCATGTTCCAACACTCAAGTGCCCAGGCCGTTGTCTGCTGCCTTCCAAGGTGGGCCTCAGCAGGAAAAGTGGAGCTGGGATGGGTCCCACGTGTTCTCATGTGGTTCATGAGTCAGCTTGTGGGCCGCCATCCTACCTACCCCTCCCGCACCGGATTGGAACACGCTTTGCCACGTGCTGTGTTCCATAGCATGCGGCCCAAGTGTTCCTGCGTGACTGTGGACACGTGCCAGGGCTTGCCTACAGAGAGCCAAGACCATTACAGCTTCCAGACACCTGGGCGAGCCTAGCCCACATCAGCTGAGCCACCTGGCCGACAGCGGCTGAGCCCATGCAGTGAGTACGAGACACGGCAGGTGTGGGCCGCTTGGAGCTACCGGGATTTGATGCTGTGATTCATCTGGCAATGAACCTGGGCATTCTCCTCCAGGTTTGAAGGCAACTGAGGAATATAGAAAAGAAACAGACAACAAAGCCTATTTGGTTTTTTTTTCTCTCTTTTTTTTTTGCCTTGTGAGACGTGGTTGGAAAATGCTACTGGAGACTTGTGAACAAAACCCAGCTTTCTCAGCTCAAATGGAATATATGCAGCCCCGGCTCCCCAGATGAGACAACCAGAGAGAGAGAGAGAGAGAGAGAGGAAAACACCTGCAGCTGCAGTCCAGCCACACACCAAAGAACGCGCGGCCCACAGGGGCCCCACTGCCAGCCCTCTGACCTCATGCCACACTAGACGAGGCTTTTCTCCCTGGGGGAGGAGGGGAGAGGGAACACAGACAAGGGCATGGCCCCACTTCCTGGAGGGCTGATGTCCCTGTTTGCATAATTTTTCAATTATTTCCCTAGTTTATTGAAAGATGGGAAGACAGACATTTGGAGACAGATCTCCCATCCTCTGGTTTACCGCTGCTCCTCCTTCTCCCCCCAGTGCCTGCAGCAGCTGGGGCTGGGTCAGGCTGAAGCCCGGCACCCAGAACTTGGCCCAGGCCTCCCATGGGAGTGGCAGGGACTCCACTACCTGTGCCATCACCTGCCGCCTCCCTGGACATGAAGCTGGAAATGGGAACGGAGCCGGGACTGAAGCCCAGGCACCTGGCACGGGACGCGGGCCTCCCAGGCGGGGTCTTAACCTTTGCGTAACTCCCATCCTGTTCTCATTTCCTTATGAGACTTGGCAGAGGCATAGGGAGGGGTGACAAGGACGCCTTCTGCCCGAGGCTCTGCCCAGCCTGGTGGTGTCCTCCCAGGCTTGCCTCCTGGAAGTCACCCAGTCCCACCAGGGCCCCTCGCACCGCTACCTTGGATACCGCTGTTCTTCTGCCAGGGATTCTCCACCCCAGCTGTCTACCTGGGAAAACGGCTCGTCCTTGAAGTCTCCGTCCAAATGCTGCCCTCCCGGGGAGTCTCCCTGATGCTCAGGGAGCACGCACGCCGACTCAGAGCACGCATCACACTCTGCTAGCATTCCGCCTTACCGACCGTCACCGTTGCGTCCTTGAGGGCTGAGAGTATGTCTTACCCAGTAGCGGATTGCTCGGGCCCAGCGTTGGCCCCCATCTCTCTGAAGTGCTCCCAGAGCGTTTATTAAACCAGGTTATTCAGCCCCTCCCTTGCCAAGCACAGACGTACAGGTAGAGGAAGGTGGCAAACAGCTACAGGTGTAGCTGTGCAAGCCAGCAGGGTCTGGAAAGCGACTACAGGGGCCTGCCTGTTGTCACGGACTCGCTGACCAGTCCTTGAGCTCCTGTAGTTTTCTGCCAATTCGCTTGTTCTGAAAAGCAGTTGTTTCTGCAGACAGAAGCAGACAGGATATTGGCTTTCTGTAGCACGCTGGGTGGAGACTCCGCAGAGCGAAGGTCTCTGCACCCTTGAGGGCGCTGGTGTGTTTGGCAGGCAGAGGGGCAGGGGACTCACACGCAGCAGCTGCGTCCCTGGAAGCGTCTTTGAGCGGCCAGGGCTGGCCGACGCCGCGGTGCCCTTGCTGGAGGATTCCAGATAGACTCCCCCTGGAGCCTTCTGTCCAAACAGGGGAAGATGTTTCGGAATCAGGCGAGTTAGATCAAAGCTCTTGTTAAGAGACAGACGCTGACCCACGTGACGGTGAATTGGCGTGGAGCTGCTCCGTGGCGTCCAGTCCGCCAGCACACACACGGACGCCCTCACACTGAGCTCTGATGCCACACAGCAGGGAAAGCGACGTACAGCTCCAAAAGTGGGAGCCTGGAGGGCACGTATTGGGAGCCCAGGTCCCCAGAGTGTCTCCTCCCCTGGTGATCTTTCCTGCTGTGCGGTTGGTTCTCGTGGGTCCCCTTCTCTTAGGCTGGGCCCTGTCTTACCCTGTGGGTTCTCTGAAGACTGCTCAGAGGCTCTGTGCCCAGCTCCACCCGTTGGGGTGGCGTGGCGTGGCATGGAGAGCTCTGCAGCCCGACTCAAACCTGCCTTTCCCTCTGTCTCTGATGTTCCTCCTGCCTCCTCATCCCCCTGTGCTGATGGGAGGCTCACACCAAGGAAGCTCATGGTTGCCTCTGGCAGGCCCTGGACCCGCAGCGTTCCATCCATTATCTTAGGTCATCTTGGCAATTCCGGAGGGGGGCACTGGGGCCATCTTCAACTTGAAGAGGAGGGTTTGCGCTCAGAATGGTCAGGGGCTTGCTCCAGGTTGCACAGCTGCACAGTGGCCAGCGGTCCTCACTGTGGCCTCTTAGCCTCAGCAAATGCTGTCCCCCCCCTCCCCCCAGTGCTGGCTGGCTTCCCTCTTGCGCTTTCTCTGAGGATCGGGTTCACAGCTCTGTTAACCACTTCTCTCTCGGATTCTGAACTCGGCGTTCTCTGTTGAAACTTCCCGGGCTCCATGGGCCCCATAAGGACAGATCCACTTGGTGGGACTCACTTCTCAACACTGAGTGAAAGGAATCTTGGCGCAATGAAAGGTGATTCTTCTGCAGAGCTGAACGTCCACTCTGCACGTGGGCACATCTCTGGTGGGAGCCTGGGCTGTGCGGGTGTGAGATCAGAGAGGCGCGTTGCGGCGGTCGTTCCCGACACTGCCTGTGGGGGCGCTCCTGAGCCCGTCCGCGGACCCCGTCTCCCCTCGCCCCACTGTCCGTGTGTGCCACCTCCTGCAGTCCCAGACTTCCAAGCTGTGTTGAAATCGTGCACTTTCTAAGCAGCTCACTTTTGTGTTCTTGATGCCTTTATTTCATGTGGATGTTCCACGGCTTGTTTTATGGTTTATTCATTTTTATCATTACCTTTATTATTTCCTTACTAGTTTCTCTCGTTTTATTTTATTTGGATTCTTGAGCTGATTGCTTGGGTAGTAGGTTATACGCAGCTGTTCTAATCTGAATAAATGCCTTCGAGACCGTAAATTACCCCTCTGACAACGAATGTGACTGTCGGGCGAGCTCGGATGCATAGTGCTTGCTTTCTTTTCAATTTAAAATACTTGTTAATTTCTGTTACAATTTTTTTATAATCCATGGATAATTTTAAAGTGTGCTTTTTAGTTTCAAATAGATACTTAAACCACCACTTTGTTGTTGATTACTAATTTTATTGCATGCTAGATAAGGAACCTCTTGATAATAGAGTTTTTGGAATTTGTTGAGAAATTTTGGCGGCATATGTGTGGCCTGTTTTTCCACATAAATTCTCTGTTTTTCAGGTTTGACTCTACAATTGTGTGCATATTTAATCTATCAGCTTCTGAGAAAGCTGTGTTAACACCACCCACGGTATTTGTTGACCTGTTAACTTTTCCTGATGGTGCTTTAAGCTTTTACTTTGTGTATTTCAAGACTAACATTGGAGTCATATAATGAAAGGCTGCCATTAATATTTTAATCTTTCAGCTTCAGTTTTATATGATATTTCTTTGGCAGCCTCATTATTGCTTGTGATCTCGTTTTTAGTATTTTCCTGTCATTTAGTTTGATATTTTTATAAACATGCCTAAATCTTCTATTGCTGTGTGCATTCAAACTTAAACTCAACACGTAGAGACCAGTGCTACAGCACAGTGAGCTAAGCTTGCACCTACAAGGCCGGCATCTCATAGGAATGCTGGTTTAAGTCCTGGCTGCTCCACTTCCCATCCAGCTCCCTGCCAATGGCCTGGGAAGGCAGCACAGGATGGTCCAAGTGTCTGGGCCCCTGCACCCACGTGGGAGATCAGGATGGAGCTCCGGGCTTGGGCCCAGACCAGCGTCAGCCATTGTGAATATGTGGGCAGTGAACCAGTGGATGGAAGATTCTCCCTCTTCCTCTCTCCCCCTCTCCCCCACTCCACCTCTCATCATTCTGCCTTTTGGACAAATTTGTTAAAAATAAGCCTTTCATTTCAACACATATAACAGAGCACCTGAAAGTGCGGGCCCGTGTGAGAGGTCCCTTGATCCCTGTTTTATAGACAAGACTCTCAGAGAGGGCAAGCCACCTGCCCAAGCCCCACACCTGGGGGTCACAGAAGTCCCCGGTGGTTGGGTCCTGAAGTCTGCGCTGTGACCCCTGGCCCCACACCCTCAATCCAGGTGCAAACCTGGCCTGGAGAGCCAGCCTGGGCGCTTGGGGGCAGCCTGTGACTCTGCCCCCTTATCTGTGACTTCTCAGGCTCCTCCCGTCTCACCCCCAGCCCCGGGCAGTGCAAACTGGTGAGACCGTGCTGATCGCCAAAGGCCTCCCTGATTCCTTCTTCCCACGTGAGCCCACCCAGAAAGGTCTGGGTTCAACTTCCTCTCTGCTTTGGGGAATTCACACAAATTGAATCCGTCGGGGAGGGGGGAAGGACTTTGATCTCCTGCACCGGAGCGGCAGCTTCGGGGCTGCGCCTCCCCAGAAAGCCCTAGGTTTCCTTTGGCTGAATCCTTTTGACATTTTCAATGGTAAAATAAATTTGATTTGCAGGAGCCATGAAGGAACCAAGGCGATGGGATTTCCAAAATGCACTGTGTTATTGGATATGATAAAAGACTGAATGAGTCAGTAAATGTAGCGGTTTAATAACTGTTAAAAAAAATCAGTAGCCATGTGATCTGGTTGGGGAAGGAGGAGGGGGGATTCCTGCCCACCCCCAGCACAAATCCATAGCCCCCTTTGCCTCCCAGACATGGCATTCACACGCCCCCTGCCTGAAAGCGTGAGCAGTTATGCACGCAGACACCCAGGCACGTGCCAGTCACCGAGCCTACACCTGTTGTGGCCCTGCCGGCTCTGTGTGTTTTTTTATCTCTGCAGCTCTGCAAGGTGACCAGATGACCACTCCCATTCTACAAATGAAAAAACTGAGGCACAGAAATGTTAGGCAATTTTGCTGAAGTCATCCAAGCTAGGAAGCAAGGGGGCCAAGGGTTACAATGCACGTTGGTTTCAGAAGTGTGTAATTAAAGGTGCTGGAGATAGAATCAGCATCCATCAGGCTCGACACGTTTCAGGTGGACAGATGATGCGATTTGATATGTGTGTGTACACAGGGAAGTATCACTACAGCCAAGGTCACGGCCACATCCTTCACCCCCAGAAGTGTCCTGAGTCTGGGGTGGGCCGGCATGCACGGCTGACCTTGGCCTGGAAGGGACAGGAGCAGGGTCACGCTCCCTCTGTGCTCCCAGTCTGGTTCCTGCAGGGGCAGTGACCTCTCACCTCCGGATCCCAGGCTGGCTATGCACTGGAGTCACTGTGTGAGTTTAAACTGTCACGGAGCCGGCACTGGCACCCAGGGGTTCTAGTCCCGGTTGGGGCGCCGGATTCTGTCCCGGTTGCCCTCTTCCAGGCCAGCTCTCTGCTGTGGCCAGGGAGTGCAGTGGAGGATGGCCCAAGTGCTTGGGCCCTGCACTCCCCCAGTGCCGACACTTTGATTGAATTGTCTGTGGGTGTGAGTGACCTGGGCATGTGGATCTCTCAGCTCCCCTGGCTGACTCTAATATGTAGCCCAATTTTAGGACCACTGTAGGTCATGGTTTACCTCCGGCCGTGGGGTTCGCACCTCTGCAAGCTGTCCCAGGACACAGGAAGGTCCCAGGCTCCCCTGGATAGGCACCTGGCTGGGAGACTGCAACCCCAGCTCCTGCAAGCGCCCTCACTGGAATTCGACAAGACAACCTGCATTGATCAGCTATCACCTGACTGATAGCTGACAATGAGTCTCCTTGTCATGTGTTTGCCGCTACTGGTGCAGTTAGTAAGCGCTGTGGTAATGGCTTTTTTATCAACATCAGATTTTTGAAGCCTTTCAGGTTTGACTAGTGGTTCAATATCAGGGTAATTGGTCTTCAATTGGGCACTTTAAATCTTATTTACATTGGCTGTTGTGTCTGAACCTGTAACCAGATTCTCCCCGTGCAGTGCTACCACTCCCAAACGGCTGGAGCATATTTGGGACAATGCATTGGCTCCACTGGCCAGTGTTAGGTGGGGTGTGGGTTGCCCCTGAAAATTAAGAATGCTGCCAGAGCTGTGGCTCACTAGGCTAATCCTCCACCTGCAGTGCCGGCACACTGGGTTCTAGTCCCGATTGGGGTGCCAGTTCTGTCCCGGTTGCTCCTCTTCCAGTCCAGCTCTCTGCTGTGGCCCAGGAGTGCAGTGGAGGATGGCCCAAGTGCTTGGGCCCTGCACCCGCATGGGAGACCAGGGGGAAGCACCTGGCTCCTGGCTTCGGATCGGTGCAGCGTGCCGGCTGTAGCGGCCATTTTGGGAGGTGAACCAACGGAAGGAAGACCTTTCTCTCTGTCTCTCTCTCTCACTGTCTAACTCTGCCTGTCAAAAAAACAAAAGAATGCTGACTTTATTTCAGCTTCCTGGGCCGGTCCCGGGAGCAGAAGTCCAGTTGAATCTGTCATCTAGACTAACCAGAGCTCCCGGGGAAGGGTTTCGAGATCCCTTTTACCTTAATGACATCTTGTAATTAATTGAATTACTTTTTAATTGCTTTGATGCCAACCCATGTGAACCACAGTATTTCAGTGCCATGGAACTGCTGTGCCTCTTTTTGATGTATGGAAATCATGAGGGCGCTAACGGCAATCGTGAGTCCCGCGTGGAGAAAGAAAATCATGGGTCCTGGCCGTCAGGGTTTGATAGGCGTGGGTCTGAATCACTTTAATGTGTGTTTAGAAAGCAGAGGAGGCAGGGCCCCAGCGAGGGTAGAAGAGTCTTTATCACAACAGTAAAAGGTGCAGGCAGTAGAGTGGCCTTGATTCATGAGATGAATTCGTTCCACTGAAAACAAATCCATTTGGTGTATTTTGAAAATTGGTAAAAATGTTGAAGTGGGTTATATCCCCACAAGGCCGCATCATAAAGAAGACTTGGCACACATCAGGGGCTGGGACGGGAACCGCGCTCTGTCGTGAAGTGAGGAGCCAGACAGGCTGGCTGGGAGCCTTGAACGTGCAGCTCAAACCCCTCAGGCCTCGATTTATCCATCTGTACAAGGGGGATGGTGATGATATTCCCCTTATGGGTCTGTGACGAGGGTTGCCCGGCATTGTTCTTTAAAAGCCCAGCTCCAGGCCGGTGCCGTGGCTCACTTGGTTAATCCTCCGCCTGTGGCACCGGCATCCCATATATCCCGGGTTCTAGTCCTGGTTGCTCCTCTTCCAGGCCAGCTCTCTGCTGTGGCCCGGGAGTGCAGTGGAGGATGGCCCAGGTGCTTGGACACCTGCACCTGTATGGGAGACCAGGAGGAAGCACCTGGCTCCTGGCTTTGGATTGGCACAGCGCCGGCTGTTGTGGCCATTTGGGGAGTGAACCAACGGAAGGAAGACCTTTCCCTCTGTCTCTCTCTCACTGTCTATAACTCTACCTGTCAAATAAAAAAAATTAAGCCCAGCTCCAGGCCCATGTTGAGGATCTATGGTGCTTACGACTTGATTCACTTTGCTTCGTTTTTCTCATTAACTTGATCCCACTTGATGCCTTTCATTTTGCTGTTTTAAGATTTATTTATTTGAAAAGCAGAGGAAAAAAGAGAGGGAGGAAAACACACACACACACACACACACACAGGGAGGAAGAGAGAGAGCTGGGTCATCCATCTGTTGGTTCACTCCCCGTGTGGCTGCAACAGCTGGGGCTGGACCAGCCTGAAGCCAGGGGTCATTAACTCCATCCTGGTCTCCCATGTGGGTGCAGGGCCCCAGCACTTGGGCCATCTTCCACTGCCTGCCCAGGCTCACTAGCAGGGAGCTGGATCAGAAGCAGAGGGGCCAGCACTTGAACCAGCACTCTGACAATGGCACCTGTGACGCTGGCCCCAGTGCTTCTAATTTTCAACTTTCATAAAACCGCCGCCTCTCCCTCCTGCTGGGGCTATCCTCAGGGCTGGGGCACCTTCCTGGTACCTTGCTGCCCACCCTCACTTCCGATCTTCCCT